GTCCATCGTGGCTGCTTGCTGGGGTGGGGGGTTACGAATAAAGCTGCTGCCATCCCGAGTGCAGGTTCACGTGCACGGGGGTGGGGGTGTCTGCTCTACGGGGTGTCGCGGGGAACGCGGCCTCCGGTCGTATGTGGTAGAAGCACGTTTAGTTTTGTAAGAAGCAGCTGGACGGTCTTCCAAAGTGGCCGAGTTGCTATGCACCCCCGGGAATGAGCGCACCCCTCCGGCTGCTGTGCTGAGTTTGGGGGGCGCGAGCTGTCACATCTCTCTGTCAGCTGCGGCGAGAAGCATCTTTCGGGGCTCACGTGCTGTCTGGGTGTCTCGGGAGAGATGACTGCAAAGACCTCTCACCGGTGTTTTTAATTGTGTTGTTTGTTTTCCTATTGTTGGGTGTTTTTTTTTTTAATTTATTTATTTACGCACACAAGAACAGGCAGATCGTTATTGTCGAGTTTTGACCGAGTCCATGGAGGGGGTCGGCCTCATCTGACTCTTCTCGAATGCTCTGAAGGCTGCTGACACTCGGGGCTGCCTGACCCAGCCCAGTCCCGAGGGGAGGATGACCACAGCCCCAGCCCCCAGCGACCCTCACCTTCTCCTGCACCGGTGGGACTCCCTCCCGGCCTCCCCGGCATGGTTTAGGAAAGCCCAGCTCTGTGGGGCAGGGGCGTGGGGAAGACCGGCCCCTCTGGAAAGAGGGGGGCTCTCAGCCCAGCCAGGGGTGCCCCTGGGCAGCTCTTCGGGGCTGGGGGGCACCCCTGAGAGCAGCCGGGGAGCTGCGCCATCCTGCCCTGTGGGACCTGCCGTTAATTGCCATCGCTGGCTTCATCAGGCTGGGCAGCAGCTGGAATCGACTGTGCTGGCCCTGACCTCCTCCCGCGTGACATTCAGACAGCCCTGGCCTGCGACGTGTGCACTCATGCGTGCGTGTGTGCGGCCATGGGTGTGCAGTGTGTGTGGGGGGGGCGTTCCCCTCTCTTTCTGCTCCTCTCAGCTGTTTGACGCTGACGTGCTTAACACATGCTCTGGAGTCTCTCTCTGGCCCCGGATCTGCCTCCTCCTGCTCTTATCCCTGCTGCCCACCCTGCTCTCTCTCCTGCAGCTTCAGGCCTAGACAGCAACTAAGGAGAGTCTTGCTGAGATGGTGGCATGGTCGCCATCATAGTCAGCTCTTCACAGCGCCCCCCTCCTGCTGGGAGCCCACACACAGTGGGGTGGGGGCCAGGGGGCAAGGCGGGGGGCTGGAGGTGTCCGGCAGGGAGCGCCCGCATCTTGTCTCTGAGAGCAGAGGTGTTGGGGGCAACCTCAGTGCAGTGTGGAGGGCAAGCATGCAGCTTTCAGAGGATGTGGAGACCCCAAGACCTTTCTCTGCGGAGACAGGTAGAGATTGGGCAAGGGGGCAGTGGCAGGACCTGCGGCTGCCCCCCAAAGTCCCTGCTCCCCAGCATCGCGGGAAGTTGATAAGCCCTGGTCTCAGGCTCCAGCTCTGCCTCGTCCCCTGCTCCCCTCACAGGCCTCGAGTCCGCTTTCCCCCGCGGGGTGTGCTACTGCCTTGGAGGGAAGGGCTGGGCGTCCATGAGGTGTGCTGACTCTCCACCAATATGACGTAATTCTGGGCGCACGGATGTCAGTCACCATCCATCTCTTCTGCCCTGCGCCCAGCCCCCTCTGTCCATCGACCCGTCATCCCTGTGTACATGCATACACACATGACACAGGTGTGTCCGTTCACCTGAACATATGTACCTGTGTATCTGTCCATCTGTCCATCCATTCGACAGTCTTCCCGCCCACACACCTGTCCATCTGTGTGTTCACTCATCCATCCATCCCTCCAACTTGCCCATCACCTGTCCACCTGTCCACCCATATATTTGCCCACCCAGCTGCTCATACACATGCCCACTCATCTGACCCTCCACCCACCCACCCCACGCCTGTCCTCCTCCCCGCCTCCTCCCCCGCGCCCTGGGCCAGGTCCTGTTGCCTGGGCTAGGCTCTGGTGAAGGTGCAGTGACCCGTGCAGGGGGAAGCCGTGAAGGCACACGGCAGGATGTCCAGCCCGCCCCTGGGATAGCGAGGGATGCTTTGCCATGAAGGCACAGGAGGGGGCAAGCGCCTCCACAGACGCAGGCTCCTTCCGGCGGGTAAACCTGAGTCTCGCTGTCCGTGTGCAGGTGCGTGCAGGTGCCTCGCGCTGCAGCCACACCAGGCCCTTCCTGGTCCCCAAACACCCCGACGTCTCCCTTGCCTTTCTTCTCTTCTTAGGACCAGTCCAGGTGTGACTCCCGCGGGGGCTGGCCCTGCACCCTGGTCAGGTCTCTGCTGCAGTTTGAGAGCACTCGCGTGGGACTCGAACGCCGCGTCCTGCCCGCAGCGGGCCTCACGCTGGGCCCACTCGAGCTGCAGGGCACCGCCCCATGCCCAGAGACCGCTTCCCCTCCCGGGCTCTGGAGCACAGGCCTGGCTCTTGCATCCCTCCCGGCCTGGAGAGGGTCAAGCTGGGCCCTGGCAGAGGGACACGGGCCTGGTGCCGACCTCGCTTTGGACGCTGGGCAGGGGCAGCTGACCTGGTGGTGGCTTTTCCTGAGGACGGGCGCCGTGTCTCTGCCTCCGCCACCCGTTGCCGGCCATGACAGTAACCGCAGCGTCCACTGGCGAGAGGGTTGCGGGCAGCGCCGTCTCCGAGGGTGGGTGGCTGGGGCTGAGAAGGGGCCAGCCCGGTGGCGGTGCCCAGTCTCTGGCGCTCCACTCCCAAGGGCCGGGGCTGGGCTGGGCCAGCCCTGCCACCCCCGGCCCTCGGCAGGAAGGGCCCCCCGGGTGAGGCCTGCTGACCGGTCCTAGCGTCATCCTTCGGGGGATAAAGGACACCACAGCGCCGTGCCTGTGCAAGACAGAGCTGGAGTTGGCGCTGCCAAGCACTTCTCTGCCTCCGAGCCCACGGCGGTGCCCACCCCACCCTGCCCCCTCCTCTCTGGCCCTCTGGAGGGGGGAACCCCAGCCAGGCCTCCCCAGTGTCCAGGAGACTGCTGGCCACTTACTCGTCAGCTCACAGGAGCCTCCCAGGTCTCCCTCCCCTCCCCCGCTTGCAGGGACCCTGGACAGCCCCTGCCGGCCGGCAGTCTGCTGCGTGAGCCCTGGCCCTGTGCTCAGGGCCTGGGGGTGTTTCTCTACGAAGTGTCATGCCTTCTGAGCATTGTGGGGTGCAGCCACCTCCGGGCCCCGCCTGGGGGTCAGAGGCAGTCTCCCAGGAAGCCGATGAAGCTTCAGGGCGCCTCACCTGCACGGCCTCCCCGAGGCTTTTATACGTGATTTTGTGCTTGAGATGTGTTCTTAGAGGCAGCCACCGCCACACCTCACTTAACGTCGCTCCTGGGTTCTGGGAAACTTCAGCTGGAAGCATATTTTAGACTTCGCACGAAACAGGGCCCTGAATAACGGCAACTTCGTGTCAGCTGGTGGGAAGTGCTTTTCTCATCGACTTCACAACAGAACACGTCGACTGAAATGACACTGTTCTGGGCCCAGTGAAATGACACTGTTCTGGGCTGCTGTGTCCAGGCTGTCAGAGCCCCTGGGAGGTGAGAAGCCGGAAACACGCCTCCCAGCTGCCCGGCCCAGGGGGGCCTGCAGCCGGTACCCCAGGCCCTCCTCACCCCGGGAAGGAGGTGCCCGCGCTCTCTCGCCTGTTTGCCAGCTGAACAACAGGCTCCCAAAGAGCACAGCGTCAGAACAGCCCTCCCCAGCCCCCAGGCTCCCCGCCCAGGGCCCCCCATCCAGGATCTCACCAGACCCTGCAGTGCCCGGGGCAGGTGCTGGGCTCAGGCGGCTCGGGACCCCGCGTCTGCCCCTTCCTGCCACTCAGCTGGGGCCACCCGCTGCCCCCTCCTCCTGCCCCTGTCTGCATTGCAGACACAGCGAAACACCAGACCAAAGCGAAGGATGAGGTAAACGCCAGGGGCGAGGCAAGGCCAGCAGGGGAAGACGGGTTGGGGCGCGCTCTGGCCCTAGCGTCGCCCAGAGCTGTGCTGGGCACGTGACCCTCCTGCCAGCCTCAGCCTCCTCCCTGTGAGGTGGGGTGGCCGGGGTGGCCCTTCCAGATGGCGGCGAGGCTGCAGAGGCGGCGTGGGCAAACCGTTCGGTGGCGTCCACTAGCTAGTGCTCCGTCCAGCCTGGCCTCTGCAGTGTGGCCACAACCCCGCCTCTGCATCACCTTGGCCAGCAGGGTCAGCTGAGCTCAGTGCTGTTCTCTCTTTTGGAAGGACCCAGCCCCTGGGCCCAGCAGCCTCTCCCCAGAGACCCTGGGACCCAGCGGTGTCCGTGAGGACACTCAGGGCATCTTGGCCAGGGCTGGGGAGCCGGTACGTGAGCTGATAGGCCAGGTAGAGCCCTAAGTCTTGGACTGGAGGGGAGAGGGTCTGGGCGTGGCCCTTGCCTGACTCTAGGGATGACCCTGGACCGCTGGCTGATATCCTCAGCTCTCCCCTCTCCTGCCCCCTGGGCAGTAGGCCGAAGCCCCCGGGAGCGGGCAGGAGACAGACGGACCTGGCCCAGAGCCAGGTGGGCAGTGCGGTCAGCGTCGCCGGCCTGGCTAGACTGCTTCCTCACCTATCGGGTGGGCGTGAGAGCGAGTGTCCCTGGCCCCGTGTCCTGTTAGGGGTGTCAGGGAGGCGATGAGGATAAAGCCCCGTGGAAACAACAGGAGTGTTATCGCGACGGCAGGAGCCTGAAGCGTGGCACAGGAGTGTGTGCGTGTGTGTGTGTGCGTGTGTGTGTGTGTCCAGTGTCCTTAACGATTAAAACAAGCCATCAACTTACTTGAGAGTCTTTCTCCAAACCAACAAGCCCCTCCAGAGGCAGGAGGCGTGAGTGGGTCGGGCCTCGGGGCCGGGCGACACGCAGCTGAGCATGATGTGCGTCTTGGACGGGCTCCCGGACAGGACGGCCCGGGAAGAGGCGGGCGCGGCGGGGGGAGCGCCGGCCTGCTGAGAGGCAGGATGGCGGCCCCAGTTGTGCAGGGGGGCCTGGCGAAGGTGAGCTGTGAGCAGTGGGAGCCCGGGGCCGGAGGGGACTCTGAGCAGCTCCAGAGCTCCCCTGGAAGTCTCGCTCACCCTAAAATAGAAGTCTCGTTTCCTAATCACCGGCGCCTGGGTGCTGTCTGTTCGCACCTGCACTCACATGAACAACAGCGTCTCCAGGTCCTGCCCCTGGTGCCTCGTCTGTCGTGTCTGGCGGTGCCCAGGTGTGTGGCTGGGCTGCGGGACTGGGAGCGGAGCAGGGTGGCCTGGGGCTGGACGCGGGACCCTGATTCCTCAGACCAGGCTCCACCCCTTCTCGGCTGAGCTTGGCGCCGCAGCCCAGCCTCCGTTTGGTGGGGACATGTGAAGAAAGCCGCGGGCAGCCCCGCTGGCCGGCTTGCTGGAGGCCACGGCCTCCTGTGCACTGGCTGTGTCGCGACCCCCAGGCCTTGCCCACCAGAAGGGGCCCTGCAGGGTCTTCCGATGGTGGTGGGCAGTCCGACCCCAAAGCCAGAGAAACGCCTACAAACGTGCTCCTTGCCCTGGTCAGCCTGGCCCCGAGGCCACTCTGCGGGCCTTCCGTGCTGGGGTTCGCTGGTCCCTGGGCCACGGGCTCCCTCTGCATTCGCCAGGCACCCTCTGCCTGCCACACCCTTCTCGGGCCCGGAAGCCACCCCAAACATGCAGGGGAGTCCCCCTTCTTCTGGGGCACCGGTCTCAGTGACCAGGGCCCGCCTTAAGCCTTGGTCTCCTCTGCTCTGCGTGTCTGAGGCCACACCTGGGTGTGGGACACGGGGCTCAGGACTGGGGCCGGGAGACGCCCACCTGGCTTCTCGGCCTGCCCCAGCCGCTGCCTTGACCTGGGCAGCGTGAGCCTGTGGCCACACCCTGCAGGTGGTCCTGGTGCTCACTCAGGCAAGCAGAGCCTCAAGCAGACATGAGGTGGACTCAGGACACGGAGGCTGGAGCCTGGCTCCGCCCTGACCGCTGTGTCAGCGCCTCACTGTTCTGACCACTCTAGACCTGTCTCTCTATGGCTAAGACCACACAGGACACCGACCCCTCAGGGCGCCCCAAGGCAGAAATGATACCAGGTGCATGGCCCACGTCTGGTGACCCCATTGTACCCCCCGCGGAGATCTGGCCCGGTGTCTTTCCCCACCCCCCGACACATGGGTAGGTGACAGCCTACCCCCCAACTGTGATTGCGAGGATTGCATTCTCATCCACGTGCTCCAAAAAAAGGGACCCTAGGGCCTCCCTGGTGGCACAGTGGTTAAAGCGCGGCACTAAGAAGCTAAAGCCACTTCAGTGTGAGTTCGATCCCCACCCCAGAGGGGACCCACAGGGCGCAGCAGATCCCTCCTGACCCGCCCGCTGCTTCCCTCCGCAGTGGACTTCCTCAGTCGGCCTGATCTTCCCCCCGCTCTGTCTCTGGTGAAGCCTCTCACCGCCCCTGAGCCTCTGGCCTGTACCCCAGTCCTGTATGAATAAATAAATCTTAAAAAAAAGAAAAAGGGACCCTATTTCCAAATAAGAAATAAGGTCATATTCCCAGGTACCAGGTGAGGCTGTCTACATGTCTTTTGGGGGACATGGGTCCACCCCTAATAGGACTCTTGCTCCCACCCCAAGCCAGTCCTGCTCACCCACGAGGCCCTGGGCCCGGCCCCCAAACGTGTCTTTTGCGTCCCCCGCCGCCACACCTCCCTCCCGCCCCGCCGGCCCCTCTGTCTGGTTGTGCTGGGAGCGGGTGACGGACAGCTGCGTGTCTCCTCTCTCCCTTCCCGCTGACCCGGCCCGAGCGGCGCCTCCCGGATGCCCCTTCCCTTGGACGACGAGTGACTTCTCACTGTCCCCGGTCACGGCTGCTTTGCTCTTGAAGGCTCTGCTCACTGTCGGTGAGTGATGGCCCGGCAAATTTTGGGCGACAAGGAAATGTCCTCAAGGCTTGTCCTAAGACCTCTGAGAGACTTGGGGAGGCAGGACACGCCCAGCCCGGCGTCCTCTTTAGGGGCACAGCTGATGGTGAGAGGGGCCCCCACTGTGTGCTCCCTCTGCCTTGTCCTGAGGCCCCTCTCCTGGGGGTGGGGCCCAAGGCCACCTGACTCCAGGCCATCCTCCTGGTCAGAGAGTAAGGGCCGCCCGACCCTGGGCTGGGGTGTCTGGAGAGCTGGCTGCTAACCCCAGGTGGGTCCTGCCAGCTCCCCCCTTCCAGAAAATGGGGCCACGGTGGTTGTTGTCCTTCCAGCCGCTTCCACTGGGGGAGAGGCATCAGTGGCAGTGGGCACCCAGTAAATGTGACTTGAGCCCTCCATCCCCCCTGTCCCCCAAGGCCGCAGTTCCTACTTTCAGCAGGATTGCCCACTTCGCCGAGTGCCCCGCGCTGCTCCCGGCGTGGGTCTCGCGGGCCCTGTTCGGTGCTGGCCGGCGGCCCGAAGGCGGTCTGCTCACTCCGCCACGAGTCTTGCTCGTGCATGTCTTGGAAGAGCTCCTCTGGCATCTGTCCAAACTGGAACCCTGGCCCGAGGCCCCCGGGCCTCAGCAGCGCCTCATGAGTTTCTGGCAGGAGGCCCCAACGTGGTCCCTCTAGGAAGAGAGTCACGAGTGGGCTGAGCTGTGGGGGGAACAAGCTGACGAGACTTGGGGAACCTGGTAGGGGCGTTACTGACTGGGGCCAGACACGCTGGTCTGCTGATCGTTAGCCGCGTGCTCCGTGCCTCAGTTTCCCCCTCTGTACTGTGGCACCGGCCTGAGACCACTCCACTGGCTGTGAGTTTGTGCTGTAGCCCCAGTGTTCCCTGACCCTTCCAGCCAGACCCCGCAAGGACACGACCCGCCCTGGGGTGGCGGGAGTGTTTGTCTGCGGGCGCCAGCCACTGGCCCCTGCATTCGCCCTCCCTAGTCCTCGGCAGAGTGGGAACAGACCACCACTCTGCAGGGTTAAACGGGGCCTCGGGGCCAAGGCGGGTCAGCCAGGCAGATGGGCCACGTTCACTAGTGAGCATGGGCTCGGGTGACCCCTGGCAAGACAACAGAGAAGAACAGAGGAAACCCAAAGTGGGGAAACTGAGTCAAGGCACCCGAAGTGACCCCAAAAACTGTCACTTCGAGAAGGAGCGCGCCTGGCTTTGGGGGCATTTTCCCAACCTTGGTTGAGTTTCTCTAGCTCCCTTTGCCCCCAGACCGGGCACATGCCCACCCACAGAGACCCCGGGCCACGGCAGGGGTTGCCCCCACATCAGCCTCCCTCTCTCCCAGCCCCCACCCTGCAGGCTGCGCAGCTGCCTCCACCCCTACCCCCAGCCAGCCTCTCCATTATCAGATCTGCAGGGATGAAAGGCGCCCTATGAGCCAGTCAATAAATCCAACTTTGGGAGATAAAAGCCTGGGGGCTGGGGCTGGAGGCAGGGGCCGGGCAGGAGCAGGCCGGGGAAATTCAGGTTCTGAAGGCCCAAAGCAAAATCGACAGATTGGAAATCTGCATTGCCGCCTCTCTGCTTATCTCCCTCCCTGGCCACAGGCTGTCCAGTTGGCCAGAGGGGAGCAGGCGGGCAGGCGGGGGCTGGCCGAGTTTCAGGGCTGGTTCTCAGCTTACCGTCCATCATCTCTTTGCATAAGGAGGGATTAATGTCTGTGGCTGAGCAATAACCGAGCGCCCAGACACGGCTGGCACCCAGGGCACCAGGAGGGTGCCATAGCAGCCTCCAGGCCGCTGCCTCATCCATCACCTGCCCAGAGCTGTAGGGTGGGCCCATGTCCTTGCGCCGCACATTTCACCCTGCCCCACCTGCTGCCCACCTGCTGCAGTCTGAGCTGGGCAGAGAAAGGCCTCCTGGGGGGGGGGGGTACATTATATAAAGACCCAGAAGGTTGTGGATCCCACTGGGGGGATTAGTGACTCTGAGGCCTGGAGATTAGAATGTGGCAGGAAGGAGGAGGGGGCGTCCGGGAGGGGGCTGGTCCCTGCACATAACCCCAAGAGACGCTGGTCGCTGGTCGCAGTCACCTGCTCCCATAGAGGGCAGGTGGTGGGAGCTCCTCCGGTCCTCCACCTGCCTGTCCATGAAGAGACTCCCGGAGCTGGGGTGGGAGGACAAGAGGAAATCGTGGATGAGTCTGTGACCCCTCATTGTTTGGGGGCCGGGGCTCCTGAGGCCTTGAGAAAGCAGGCAGTAGCCATACCTGTCGGCTCTCCCCTTACCTAGGAAGGAACTGGGACCTCGGGAGTGGGGCAGGAGGAGGGGTGGGGAGGCCGGGAGTGGGGCAGGAGGAGCAGCGGGGGAGGGAAGCAAGGAAGGCAGAGTCGCAGGCTTTCCCGGGGCTGGAAACCCCTGGTGGAGCGTTCCCAAAGCGCGGCCCCTGAGACAGCAGCAGCCCCCAGACCCGCTGAGTCAGACTCTCTTGGGCAAGACCAGGCGCACCTGCGTTCACCCCGCCTCCAGGGGTCCAGCTGCGCCTGCTAGAGCCGCTCTGTTGCGAGAGCCCTGGGGCAGGTAGGGGAGCTTCGCAGGTAGAGTTGAGGCTTCTGGTCACAGAGAGGGTGGCGAGGCAGGTGTGCCAGGACCAGAGAGCTGGCCGGAACCCCATGGAAACAGCTGGGGCCCGGGGCCCTCCTG